TTTTGATCACTTAGGTATGTCTTTTATAGTAAAATCATTTATTTTAAAAGTAATATAATAAATAAATAGACATTAAAATTTTTCTTTACCTATATACATAAATAATGATTAGAATAATAAACAAGCAACAATGATGATTAAATCAAAAGGTGTTTTACCTCTGACTTTATTCATTGAATTATTTATCATAGTGATGTTATTAAATATAAAAGAGAAATTTATATACATAAATAATAATAAATATAACTATCGAATAATTGATAAAACGTTTATTTTTGTAAAACATGCTTCGCAAGCTTCATAGATTTTGTCCTTAATGCTTACTTCGATCACTTCTATACAGACTATTGAATAATTAATAAAACGTTCATTAGAACATTTTGTTCATAGATCCTGTCCTTAAAGCTTATTTCGATAACTCCTACACCAACTATTGAATAATTGATAAAATGTTTGTTAGAATATTTTGTTCATAGATCTTATACAGACTATTGAATAATTAATAAACGTTTGTTAGTATATTTGTTCATAGATCTTGTCCTTAATGCTTACTTTGATCACTCCTATACAAACTATTGAATAATTAATAAAACGCTTGTTACTATATTTTGTTCATAGATATTGTCCTTGATGCTTACTTCAATTACTCCTACACAAACTATTGAATAATTAATAAAATGTTTGTTATTATATTTTGTTCATAGATCTTGTCCTTAAAACTTACTTTGATCACTCCTACACAAACTATTGAATAATTAATAAAACATTCGTTATTATATTTTGTTCGTAGATCTTGTCCTTAATGCCTACTTCGATCACTCCTACACAAACTATTGAATAATTGATAAAACGTTTGTTAGTATAGATCTTGTCCTTAACATTTACTTCGAACTTCTACACAAGCCGGATCTTAATCTTTATTATCATCCTCAAAAAATGATGATTCATTATCATCGTTTGCTATTTATTGCTACTAATATTATTGTTTAATGTTGCTATAACAACTACTGATTGAATATTCATTAATGAAACTTTGATCAATATAAAACAATCACTAATAAAATACCTTTTAGTTTTTGTTGATACTCCCCATAAAGTAATGACCATATGAAAGCTTAAAGTATTATACACCTTCTCATTTACTATCAAGTCTTTTAAAGCAATATTGAGAAATAATCTGAGCTTTGAAGTGAAAAAGTAATACCGTTTTTGAATAGCCGTGAATTCATGTAGAGAAGACCTTTCGATATGAAAGAGTATTCATTAGAAAGCTTTAGTGGGGTACTTTCATTTTACTCTAACAACGAAGTTCGAGTTTATTATAAAATAACGAAATATTTTAAAAAAAACTTCATGTGACACGAATTTCGAATTTATTTTCACATATAGTAATAGAAAATCAATTGATGTGACTAATGGATAAATAATTAATGTGACTAATAAATAAATAATTAACGTGACTAATAGATAAATAATTAATATTAATGTGTGTACACGTCGATCAAATAAAATTATCTTTTTTTCTTTTAAAAAACATCGTCAAAAAACAATAAAAGAAGAAAAGAATATAATACTGGTGCCACTCGTCGTTACTCTAGTTATTATTTAAGTAAGTGTTGTCAGAATGTTTTTTTTAAAGGTGGTGAACGGGTGTGACTGCTGTTGTTGTTGCCGCCACTCTAGTTTCTAAAATAAATAAATAAAAAAAAGACATATTTGTAGTGTTTCATTCATCATCATTCTTTATCTTTTTTAAATATATTTCCTTCTCGTTCTAAGAAATGTCGAAAACATTGTTTGCAAAGACAACAAGGGAAGGGAATTAGACAAAAAATCAAAAAAATTTTATATATCTATATTAGATTTTTTTGAAGCATCGACCGACTGGTCATACACAAACTTTCGAGTATATGCGTCAAATAAAAACCCGGCATCATCATACACTAAAGACTAGTGCCGTAATCCAAAAAAGGAAAAATTATGGTTGCAAAAGTGGTCGCAAAGGTAATTGCAACCACTTTTTATATGCCGTAAATACATCATCATAATTTACGGCACTAGTCTTTATCATGCACTGAAGGTTTTGTAAATATGATATATTCTAGATGTCTCTAATATGGGCTCCAAAACAACAAAATGGATAGCAACACTTTTTTAAAATTGTTGGACCAGTCAAGGGTATGTTTACTTCTCTGATATTTTCATGAAATTAGGATGGATATATTGCGAAATACAAAGCTGTAATGGCTGCAATATATTTATTCCACTATGAGTGTAAAACTTTATTTTTTTAATCATTCCACTTTGCTATGGGTGAAAACATATGAACAATATGTAATATTATTAGAATACTAATATTTTATTCATTATTTTCATATAGTCCCAATATTCAAAGCATACCAAGAGCCGAGACATGGTAAAAAAAGGTGATATAAGTATTATTAAATTGAAAGTAAGCAAATTTTATTTTAGTAAATTTAATATAATGATACTTGTATCCTGTTATTTGGTTTAAAGATAACTATACATTATTTATATTATAAAAGAACCACGATATATCAAAAAATCCATGGATTTATAAAAATATCACGCTTCAATTAAAGACTAGTGCCGTAACCCAAAAAGGAAAAATTATGGTTGCAAAAGTGGTCGCAACCACTTTTTATATGCCGTAAATACATCATCATAATTTACGGCACTAGTCTTTAACTTCAATCGAAATTAAGAACAATTATATTGGAAAATGGGCCGATTTGCTTCCAATATGATGACCCTCTTGCAAGTTCCATCATTGACACAGCACATCCACATTCTTGGCTTAAGAACTGTTTTCTAGAACGGAATGGATTGTTCTGGTTGTGCATACAATAAGATGCACTACTAGAGATGTTCCAATGCGCATGTAATTTTTTTTGTACATAGTAATAGTAATAGTAATAAATGTAACGCAAAAAAAATAAAAAAATTTTTTTTATTATGAAATATTATCCAAATGACTCAAGAAAATTTTGGTCACAATTACTACATTATAAACAACATACT